AGAAAATGTTCTGCATCCTACTTTGGTGAGTGGCATCTGGGGTATTAAAAGCTTGCAAGCGGCCATCTAAGATGCATCAATTGGTCCCAACCGCTTGGAGTAAAGGAGAACGAAGAACACCAAAGACACAAGGAAAGTATTGGCCCAAGACACAGAATGGGCCACGTAAACCAGAGACTTCATCAGCCTGAGACCAGATGAACTAGATGGTGCCTGGCTACCACCAGTGAACGTCCTGACAAGGAACACAACAAAGGGTCCTTGATGTAGCAGTAGAATGATGGGATGCAGAACTCAAATACTAGTAAGAAGACCAGACTTAATGTTTGGCTAAGACTGGAGGTGCCCCGGAAAGCATGGCCCCTGGTCTCTCCATCACCCCAGAACTAAATCAGTTTCCGAGGCCAACTCTTCAGACAGGGACTGGACTGAACTGTGGGACATAAAGTGATACTCGTGAAGAATGTGCCTCTTAGACAAGTAGATATAAGAGACCAAGGGGCGGCTTCTGTCCAGAGGTTAGAGGGTAAGGCAGAGTAAGGAGCTGGTTGAATGTTCATGAGGAATCGGGCGGAGGGCAGGAGTGTGCTGTCGCAGAATGGGGTGAGCGGTTGGGGTCTCATAACAATGTATGTTGGGAAAAAAAAAAAATTCTGTATGGGAGACTGACTTGAAATGTAAACTTCATTTAATTACATCAATTAAAAAAAAAAGATTACAGCCTAGGAAACCCTACAGGGCAGTTCTGCTCTGTCCTGTAGGGTTGCTGTGAGTCAGAATCGACTGGACAGCACACGACAAGTACCCTACATGACAGGAAGTACAAACCTTTCACTGTTATCACATGCCATGCTCTTGTGAGCCTCCATGCATTTGCACAGGCTGGGAATGGCTGGCGCATAGTCTTCACTTTATATGGACAGTTACTCATCTCCAAGATCCAGCGCAAATGTCACCTCCCTTCTGAAGCACTTACAAAGGTCTCTAAGCATTTAGTTGCTCCATCTGTGGTATTGCTCCTGCTTTTTGTCAAGGTACAGTTCATACAAATTAACTGCTTGCATGTCTTGTTTCCCATCAGACTATGAGCTGCTTATATACCATGTCTTATGTAACTTTATACTCCTTGTGTACAGTAAATACTAAAGTAATGAAATGTGGCATTTGCCTTCCTGTGTAGGTTTGATTTACATGTCTAGCAATTACAAAACTGTGTGGTTCCTTCTAAGTGGTATTGTATTTAAAAAATGATGTGTAAGAGAAGCAAGCTAGACTTTAAAGAGGAAATTGTGACCTTTATACATTTGCAGGATCAGAAAATCACTTTCATCAGTTCAACCAGAAATTATTGTGCTTTAAAGAAATGAATTCCCAGTAACCAGCTAAAAGAAGATTGATTTCTAAACTAGAATGCCAGTTTGTTCATTTGCAGTGGGGATTGCTCTTCTCTGGTGCCAGGCAGCCTCGTGTCTCTTTCTGGTCTGGAGGCACTCAACAAGCCAAGTGAACAGCCATGGTATTGCTCCCTCTACCCCAAAGCAGTGCAGCTCTCTAGAGACTAGACTTCTCATTCAGAATAAAACCCAGCCAAGTTTTGCTCTTTATGAATACATCATTACAGGAGATAGTCAAATTGTAACATAGCACTACTTAAGTTTCTTTAGCTCCATTTTTAATCTAGAGATACAGCACAGCCTCCCTGCTTGAGAGTAGATGTTTTCCAGGTTCCTTCAGCATTATGCAAACTGTCTCTTAAGGTGCATTCCCCTTCAGATCACTAATTTAATCTGTAGCGTGATGATGACTCTTACTAATTTTACTCTTAGATACTAACTTCCTCAACATACTTCTAAATTCTGGGAGTGCCTTGTTGTTATTCTCTAGATACTGACAACAAGAAGTCATGGTATAAGCAGACATACTCATACCAATAGGCTTCTGAGTGGATAACCAGTAAGCTATCTGAGTAAGAAAACCTTTTTTTTTTTAATTGTACTTTAGATGAAGGTTTACAGAGCAAACAAGTTTCTCATTAAACAATTAATACCTATACTGTTTTGTGACATTGGTTGCCAACCCCACGTAATGTCAGTGCTCTCCCCTTCTCAACCTTGGGTTCCTCGTTACCAGCTTTCCTGTCTCCTCCTGCCTTCTTGTCCTTGCCCCTGGGCTGGTGTGCCCACTTAGTCTC